CAATAAGGAAAAAAGAGACACAAAGGAATTTAAACAACTTAAACTTGTCACTGAGAAGATGAAGGAACTGAAGCAGGTACATCAACAGCAGTGGGTTCAACTTGGCTTGAAGGAGTGGGGATACTCGTGTCATCTTCAACATTTCCGAAAGCTTCGACCACGGGAGAAAGAAAATCTTGGTTCTGTTGAGTCTTCTCGATAGTTTCCTTGATCTTAGCAAACTCAGATTCCAAGTTAAAATTCTCTTGGATAACTTCAACAAGGGTATCACGGCAAGAATTCAAAAACGCCCAACTCACTTCAATGGCAGACTTATCTTCAAGGATCTCATAATCTCTTTCCCATTCAGTGATTTCGTTCTTTAGCTTTTCATTTTTTTCCAAGGCAGATTCATAAAAAGCTTGAAAAGAGGCGTGGGAATTTTCTAAGGAACAAACCATATCAGAAGAAAACCGGATGTCTTCTTGGGCTTGAGTCAAATTCTACATGAGTTCACCAGCATAGGATTCTTTTGCATCCCAGAGAGCCTTCAAATCTCTTATATCTTCACTCACCTTGGAAAGCTGCTCGAAAAAAGAAGTTTCACGACGAGCCTTTTCCTTGTCTGATTGACTAGAGGAAGCCTTTTCAACTGCCAATTTCAAAGTCAAAGCCCACACCTGCTGCTCCAAGGTCTTTTTGCTTTCTTCTAAGTACTCCACGTCGATCTGAAGACTTTCATACTATTCCTTCCAATTATATGCCTCCAATTGATAATCACGCACTAACTGCTCTAAGAGGGTAACCCTTTTCATCATCTCCATGCCGATGAGATTGGTCTAAAAAGGGGAAAGGGAAGGAAATGAGAATCCAAAAGATAGAAAAATGACAAAGTAAAAGTTAGAAAAAAGGAATACCTTTAAAGAAGCATGCACAATGTCATTCATCAAAGTCAAAGAACTATGGCTCTCTAGTTTGGCTCTCTCAACAGGACCAATTAAAGGCTTTAGCCACACATCTGCTTGACCTGAGTTCCTTAAAAGGTTTCCCTTAGCGGGGACTTTAATAATCACTTGCCTCATAGCACTACTCCTATTTGAGGAGCCAACCTCAGCACGGTGAGTAGGTGGAGGAGGAATTATCGAAGGAGGAATAGTAGAAGTAGTAAAAATAGCATGGGGAGGAACGGAAGCAGCCATAATCGGCAAAGTAGGAGTCACAGGCACGGGAGCAGAAAAAGAAGCCAAGAGAGCTTCATCAGAAATGGGACCTAAACTTTCACTACCAAACCCGCAGTCAAAAAGTTGCTCAACAGAATCATGAGCAATAGCGGGAACATCATCAACATCAACGAGGATCACTACCAGGTCTTCAACAGATTCGGTAAGAGGAATAGAACGGCGGGGGGATGCTTCTGCTTCATCATCGGAAATAATGCATCTACGAGCCCGTGGCCTTGTTACCAAGGAACCCCCGTCTTCCTCTTCTTCGGAGTCTTGGTCGTCAACGACTTTTTATTTTCGATGAAGAGCCTAGAATTATTTCTTGAGCCCTTTCCAAAGAGATACGAGAAGCCGCAACCGCCTCAGCAGTAACTCCTCGAATAGCAAATCCTGATAGAAAGAAGGATTGAGATAGGTTCAGGAAAAAACAATATGTAAAATGAAATAAAAGCTCTTACCATAAGTTTTTACTTTCCAACCAAAATGTTGGGAAGGGGTCTTCCAAGATCTACCATCCATTGGTGCAATACTCAACAACTTTCCTACCCAATCACAAAAATTGGGAACATCTTCCACAACTCTCATGGTTGCTGGAAAAGAAAAGTAAAATTAGAAAAATCAACAAAATTGAAGAAAAAGGTACGAGAAAGTTAGAAGANCGTGCAAAATTTCACTTCTCAAGGAAGGGAATGTTCTCATCACCCACTAGACCAACAGTGGGGGCAGCAACAAACCTGGCATACCAGCCACGGTATTTGTCATCTTCAGGGCTAACTAGAACTCTTTTGCTCCTGGCTACTAGTGTAAAAACACCATTACGAAAGAGTCTAGGGGAGTAAAGATGAATTAGATGCGGGAAAGTAAAAGGCACACTGGCTATGTTGGTCAAATGCCTCAAACAGGAAACAACCCTCCATATTATTGGGCCAATTTGACCTAAGTAAACATCAAAAAAATGACAGAACTCGAGAATAACAAGATCGATAGCAGGTTTGGATCCTAATGTGAAAGGGTATGTACAGATAAAGGAAAAACCGGTTAAGTAAGAGGTAATTCTTTGATTCGAAATGGGAATAATGATAGGAAAGTCATGACTCCAATGGTAGTCTCTACGAACTAAAGAAATCAAACATTCAGTGATTTGAGTGGGATAGATATCAGCACGATCTAAAGAAGATACTTGATTTCTAAGAGATTCTCTGTCATTATAGAAAGATAGTTCCGCAGGAACTATCTCCTCTACTAGAGGTTCATGAAGAGATTCAAAAGATTTCTTACCTCTAGAAGAAGATCTGTGTGAAAGAAAACCTCTAGTTCTAGAAGAAGGGCCAGAACTAGGCAAAGGAAGAGAAGAACCACGCATGGATGAAGATCCTAAATTACGAAGCCTACCTCCTCTTCTGCTCCTACTGGGGGCATTAGGGAAGTTATCAACTATGTGGACCCTTCTAGAGTTAGGGTTTGATGAAGACATGATAGTACGAGGAAGAAACAAACAAAGATTCAAGAACTGAATATTTTGAGAACTTTACGTGATAAAGACAAAAAAGAAAATTATATTTATACTGCGAAGCAACCGTCAAAGGAAAAGGTGCAATGATGGAAAAGTCATAATGAGAACTGACGCTTCGTGGTTAGTGAAGCTGTGAAAAATCCCTAAAAAGCGCTGCAAAGTTGCAGAACCAGTAAAAGGGGTGCCACGCGTGAAGAGCATTAAATGGAAGTGACAAATGAAGCGTTGATTCTGCTATAGTATTAATGGTGACAAAAATTCCCATTTTAATGAATTCCACTTCCCAAATATTCAATTGATGAATAAATGGCAAGTGGGGGGACTATCTGTATTGGGAAAAATTGAGTTTACATATTAAAGTGATTGGAAGATGACGTGTCATGACACGTAGACTGGTCAAAGAGTTATGATTGGCAAAGAGGCACGAGTTGCAACAGATACGAGCAGAGGCATAAGGGGAGGCACGAGCGGATACTCAAAAGATTTAACATCCGTACCTATTTAAGTCCAAGAATCAAGGAGAATGAATCTGATAGCACAAGAAAGTATAAATACAGTATTTAATGAGCATTAAATACTAAAAACGTTAGAGGATCTGTATTAAAATACAATGATTATGTAACGTAGCATTTAATGTCTTTAATTATCTATAATTGCCTTATTATGATAAAGGCAAAATACATATTTCCAAGATAGCTATAAAAGGGAAAAAAATGGGTCAATTGTAAGGACACGAAATACAATCTAAATACATTGGTTTACTTTGTTATCTTATTGTTGGCAAAAATCACTTTCCTTTATTCATTCTTTGATTATCAGTAACCCGAGTTTTCTAAATTAAGGCTTTAACCGAAATTCCACTTTTTGGTTAAACAATGATATCAAATAAAAATATAGGAGTAAATATTAACTTGAATATATTGACTGAGATGATTGAGTACTTTTGTGGGACATAATATTTTCCTTTATAGAGTTAGCTAAATAGGATCAACGATCATTATTTTTCTTAAAATTTTATTTTCTATTTTTAATATAATTTTTAAAAAAAATATACTCATTGAAATAGGATACACGCGCAACACGTTGTACCCTAAGACTAGTTATAATAAATATCTAATAGAATTATTTAAGTTTCTTTACTATTTCATTGTGTATTTTAGTGGATTGAAAATATATAGTATATTTTGCGGTTTGAAGATTGAGAATGATTGTATAATATAGTGCTTTGAATGCTTTTCATAGTCTTTGCTTTTTGGTGAGTTTGTTTATGTCAGTTCACTATATACTAACTATAGTAGAATTCTTCATACTTGTAAGTGCGTGGATACTTTGAAAGCTAAAAGTTCATGTTTGTAGTATTAAAAATTATGTTGGATACTTTGAAACAAATGTTTCAAAAAGACACCGCTAATGTATATTTATTTTAAGAAGGTATATATCTCTTTAATGTTGGGTTAAGAAGGCGCTAAGCAAGTACTCTTGCTCCTTTTCCCTTTTTTTTTTCTTTCTAAATACCTTCCATTTATTTAGAAAATTTATTTGTGTAAATACATACAGATATGAAATTTTTATCTCTTGTATGTCAACTATATTTATAAGATAACATTTGGAAAATTTATTGTTGTTTTTTACAATCGCGCGGAACACGGCATATTTATTAGTTTTAGTTTATATATGAGGGTATTGGATCGAGTAGGTTAGGTCATTCCTATTTTAATTAAATTATTATTTATTAGACTGAAACAAAAAATAAAAAATCGTGTCACTATAATTTTTGTGAGTTAGTAAAAAATTTATAATTTTCGTGTGAGAAAATATATAATTGTCAGTTGGTGTGGTCATGGTAATCCTTAGCCTAAGAAAAAATGAATACTTTTGAAATTTGTAGTCAAAAACATATCAAAAAGGGGTCCAGAGTATTTGTGGGGTTATAAAAAATTTTTATTAAGGGTAAAATTGTAAGTTTAAGTTAAATTGTTACCAATTTTAGAAATAGGACATTTTTTTGAAACAGACCAAAAGGTAAATAGGTTCACGTAAACTGGAACAGAGGCGACATACAGTACTCTGTAGTAAAATGAACTGTTAGGTTACTGGATGTGGTTCAGAGTTGCTAGTTGCTACGCCCTGGATGTGACACGAACAAGAATCATTCATTGGATTTGGAAGCATGAAGGCATTACTAAGGGAACATTTTTACATATTCTTGCTCATCTACTTGTTGTATTCCATCCACCAGAGTTTTGGCGCTACAGATTATATAACTACAACCCATTTTCTGAAAGATGGCGATGCCAATTGCCAATGTTACTTCAGCTGGTGGAACCTTTGAAATGGGGCTCTTCAGTCCAGGTAATTCTAAGCTTCGTTATGTTGGTATTTGGTACAAGAATATATCTGTTAGGACAGTGGTGTGGGTTGCCAACAGGGAAGCTCCTTTGACCAGTGGATCAGGTATCCTTAAGGTCATTGAGCCAGGTCTTCTTGTCCTTCTTAATGGCACTGACAAAGTTGTATGGTCAACTAATACCTCTAGATCTGTGCAGAATCCCATTGCACAGTTGTTGGATTCTGGAAATCTTATTGTGAAAGAAGCTGGTGATAATAACCCCAGTAATTTCCTCTGGCAGAGTTTTGATCACCCGACTGATACACTATTACCAGGCATGAAGCTTGGTTGGAATTTTGTAACTGGTCGAGAGGTGTACTTGTCATCGTGGAAGAACGAGGAGGATCCAGCTCCTGGCGATTTTACCTATCACTGTGATCCTTCTGGTTATCCACAGAACGTGATCCTGAAAAAGGGCACAGATGTTGTATATCGCTCTGAACCATGGAATGGTCGCCGTTTTAGTGGGGCACCAAACTCTAGAGAAGGTACTTTCTATACATTTGGAGTATTTTCTAGCAAGATAGAGGTGTATTTTACATATAAGCTCCTATATTCAGTTATCGCGAGATTGATAATAAGTCAGAATGGTGTCATACAGTTTTGGACTTGGGGTGACCGACAACAGGGCTGGGTCCCTTTTGTCTTAATGCCCTCAGAAAACTGTGATGATTACAAGTTGTGTGGTGCATATGGTAGCTGCAACAGTCAAGATTCTCCTGTATGTGGTTGCTTAGACAAATTTGTGCCAAAAGATACTGAAGATTGGCGGAAGACAGACTGGTCAGGTGGCTGCGTCCGGAGAACTGCACTAAACTGCCTCCAAGGAGACGTATTTTTGAAGTATTCACATATCAAATTGCCAGACACACGGAACTCCTGGTGCAATGTGACTATGACACTAGAAGAATGCAAGAATATCTGCTCTAAAAATTGCTCTTGTATGGCTTACTCAAATCTTGACATACGAAATGGAGGAAGTGGATGCTTATTGTGGTTCGAGAATCTGCTTGACATTCGGCAGGTACCCAATGAAGAGCAAGATATATACATCAGAATGGCTGGTTCTGAATCAGGTAGGTTTATTGCTGAGTCCGAGTTGCCAGTGATTTCTGATTTATTATACCTGAAGATGAAAAAAGAACTTATGGTTGCAGGTACTTTTAACAAAGCAGACCTTAACTTCAAGTTCGAACTTGTCCTACGCTTGTAAACATCTACTAGTGATATATTAACTGCCAAGTCCTGCTTGGCCGGTATATAGGTGGGAACTAACAAATTCATTAGAAGACAAATGTTACTACTTTAGTGAAATTGATCTGAATTATAAGTTGAATCTCTAAGCATAATGACTGGTTAGACCTCAGTCACTTCCCTGTAAGTAATTGATAGGCACAAAAGTTTTCTACAGACCTAGCAGTTCATATATAGCATCCATCAAGGTAAAAATCTCACTCGCAAGTTGAGAAATTAGATATGACATGCAGTACTACAAAGGCTAGCAAGGTCGTTATAGCTCAATATCAATTATCAACTCCACTAAGGATTGGAGAGACCAAAAAAAAGGCTACGCCCGTGCACTAAGTTCCCGCTATGCGTGGGGTCCGGGGAAGGGCCGGACCACAAGCGTCTATTGTACACAGTCTTATCCTGCATTTTTGCAAGAGGCTGTTTCCACGGCTTGAACCCATGACCTTCTGGTCACATGACAGCATAATTACCAGTTATGCCAAGGCTCCTAAAGAGCCAGAAAGTGAAATTTATTATTTTAATTTGCTGGTTACTTGCAGGTAGTGTACAGCAATCGGATGGAAAGGAAGGAAATGTACTTTTCTGGATTCTTCCATTATCTGTTGGTGTGACTCTGGTAATCCTTAGCCTGCTGGTCTGCTACAGAAGAAGGAAGAACGCTTTACAACTCAAAAAGAAAGGTAAGCTGGATAAGCCCTTTTTTGTCCCGTCTGAGCAAAGTAGAGGAATAGAATAAATGTGAAAACAACTACCTATCTTTTTTGTCTGGTGTTTGCAGAACTCACATAATTTTCTTTTGGCAGGAAGATGGGGATGCAGTGGCAGCTATAAGATAGATTACAACAGGAGTAATTGTGCTGAAGAATTTGAGATACCACTGTTTGACTTATCTATGATAGCCAAGGCTACTAATAACTTTTCAATGGACAAAAAGATTGGAGAGTGCGGTTTTGGACCTGTTTATAAGGTATAAAAACTTGAGGCCTGGTGCAGTTTTGTACAAGAAAAACACCCAATTAGGTATTGAAAATATTAACATGCAGAGATTGTGATGTTTAGGGCACACTTGAAGGACAGGAAATAGCTGTCAAACGGCTGTCTAGAACTTCAACACAAGGAGAAACCGAGTTCAAGAATGAAGTTTTATATATCGCAAAACTTCAACATAGGAATCTGGTGAAGATTCTTGGCTGCTGCATTGAAGGGGAAGAAAAAATGTTGATCTATGAGTACTTGCCAAACGGGAGTCTTGATTCATTTATATTTGGTACAACTTCTCCATCCAATATTGTGCATATTGATTAATAATTGCACTACAATGAACTGGTATCTTTAGGAGTACTTCAATAATCTTCTTCCAATCATGAAAACACAATGAAGCAAGACAAAAACATGTAAGAAAAGAACTAGGAAGTCAGCTGCATAAGAGCGTAATCTATATATAAATATAAAGGAGGGACTAAGAGTGATGACTTGGCACCTCTCTTTGGCCAAGAAACACATTTCTCTTTTTTCTCCTTTTTTGGATTTTTCCCTTATTCTTCTCTTCCCTTCAATTATTACTTATGTAGTAAAAAGCCCCAAAAAATTTAGTTAAAACAATAACCGTGTGCCATTCAAAAGTCACGACCATTTCCGAAGAATCATCAATACATTAAAAGCCCAAGAGTCTCCCTAGGTTAAAAGGCACAAAACTACAATTCATTGTACATCAACTCTCGGTGAAAAATATTTTACAGAAACTCCTCTACCAAAAGTGAGGCGGTATTCACGAAGCTATTGAGCAAATTTTCTGCCTAAGAGCATGGATATTTTGATCGTGAGTCTTAACTAATGCCGCTCAAGTCTGCTTAGGATATTGCAGTTGTGGAACTGTCCCTTATGCATCCTATACGAATGGACTATCTCGCAATTTCTCAGTATTTTACAATAAAATTTTGAATTATCCCAGTTGTGATTTTAATCGCCCCTTATGCATCCTATACGAATGGACTATCTCGCAATTTCTCAGTATTTTACAATAAAATTTTGAATTATCCCAGTTGTGATTTTAATCGCCCCTTATGCATCCTATACGAATGGACTATCTCGCAATTTCTCAGTATTTTACAATAAAATTTTGAATTATCCCAGTTGTGATTTTAATCGCCCCTTATGCATCCTATACGAATGGACTATCTCGCAATTTCTCAGTATTTTACAATAAAATTTTGAATTATCCCAGTTGTGATTTTAATCGCCCCTTATGCATCCTATACGAATGGACTATCTCGCAATTTCTCAGTATTTTACAATAAAATTTTGAATTATCCCAGTTGTGATTTTAATCGCCAAAAAGGTCAGAGAAAATTTCATTATTCTTTGTTTTAATTTGAATCTTTAAACGCAATTTAATAATTTTCTTCTTTATAGGTTTCTAATTATGGCTGTAAAAGTCTATATATAAATATAAAAGAGGGACAAAGAGTGATGACTTGGCACCTCTCTTTGGCAAAGAAACACATTTCTCTTTTTTCTCCTTTTTTTGGATTTTTCCCTTATTCTTCTCTTCCCTTCAATTATTACTTATGTAGTAAAAAGCCCCAAAAAATTTAGTTAAAACAATAACCGTGTGCCATTCAAAAGTCACGACCATTTCCGAAGAACATCAATACATTAAAAGCCCAAGAATCTCCCTAGGTTAAAAGGCACAAAACTACAATTCATTGTACATCAACTCTCGGTGAAAAATATTTTACAGAAACTCCTCTACCAAAAGTGAGGTGATATTCACGAAGCTATTGAGCAAATTTTCTGCCTAAGAGCATGGATATTTTGATCGTGAGTCTTAATTAATGCCGCTCAAGTCTGCTTAGGATATTGCAGTTGTGGAACTGTCCCTTATGTATCCTATACGAATGGACTATCTCGCAATTTCTCAGTATTTTACAATAAAATTTTGAATTATCCCAGTTGTGATTTTAATCGCCCCTTATGCATCCTATACGAATGGACTATCTCGCAATTTCTCAGTATTTTACAATAAAATTTTGAATTATCCCAGTTGTGATTTTAATCGCCAAAAAGGTCAGAGAAAATTTCATTATTCTTTGTTTTAATTTGAATCTATAAACGCAATTTAATAATTTTCTTCTTTATAGGTTTCTAATTATGGCTGTATAAATCTATATATAAATATAAAGGAGGGACTAAGAGTGATGACTTGGAACCTCTCTTTGGCCAAGAAACACATTTCTCTTTTTTCTCCTTTTTTTGGATTTTTCCCTTATTCTTCTCTTCCCTTCAATTATTACTTATGTAGTAAAAAGCCCCAAAATATTTAGTTAAAACAATAACCGTGTGCCATTCAAAAGTCACGACCATTTCCGAAGAACATCAATACATTAAAAGCCCAAGAGTCTCCCTAGGTTAAAAGGCACAAAACTACAATTCATTGTACATCAACTCTCGGTGAAAAATATTTTACAGAAACTCCTCTACCAAAAGTGAGGCGGTATTCACGAAGCTATTGAGCAAATTTTCTGCCTAAGAGCATGGATATTTTGATCGTGAGTCTTAACTAATGCCGCTCAAGTCTGCTTAGGATATTGCAGTTGTGGAACTGTCTCTTATGCATCCTATACGAATGGACTATCTCGCAATTTCTCAGTATTTTACAATAGAATTTTGAATTATCCCAGTTGTGATTTTAATCGCCCCATATGCATCCTATACGAATGGACTATCTCGCAATTTCTCAGTATTTTACAATAAAATTTTGAATTATCCCAGTTGTGATTTTAATCGCAAAAAAGGTCAGAGAAAATTTCATTATTCTTTGTTTTAATTTGAATCTTTAAACGCAATTTAATAATTTTCTTCTTTATAGGTTTCTAATTATGGCTGTATAAATCTATATATAAATATATAGGAGGGACTAAGAGTGATGACTTGGCACCTCTCTTTGGCCAAGAAACACATTTCTCTTTTTTCTCCTTTTTTTGGATTTTTCCCTTATTCTTCTCTTCCCTTCAATTATTACTTATGTAGTAAAAAGCCCCAAAAAATTTAGTTAAAACAATAACCGTGTGCCATTCAAAAGTCACGACCGTTTCCGAAGAATCATCAATACATTAAAAGCCCAAGAGTCTCCCTAGGTTAAAAGGCACAAAACTACAATTCATTGTATATCAACTCTCGGTGAAAAATATTTTACAGAAACTCCTCTACCAAAAGTGAGGCGGTATTCACGAAGCTATTGAGCAAATTTTCTGCCTAAGAGCATGGATATTTTGATCGTGAGTCTTAACTAATGCCGTTTGCAAGTCTGCTTAGGATATTGCAGTTGTGGAACTGTCCCTTATGCATCCTATACGAATGGACTATCTCGCAATTTCTCAGTATTTTACAATAAAATTTTGAATTATCCCAGTTGTGATTTTAATCGCCCCTTATGCATCCTATACGAATGGACTATCTCGCAATTTCTCAGTATTTTACAATAAAATTTTGAATTATCCCAGTTGTGATTTTAATCGCCCCTTATGCATCCTATACGAATGGACTATCTCGCAATTTCTCAATATTTTACAATAAAATTTTGAATTATCCCAGTTGTGATTTTAATCGCCCCTTATGCATCCTATACGAATGAACTATCTCGCAATTTCTCAGCATTTTACAATAAAATTTTGAATTATCCCAATTGTGATTTTAATCGCCAAAAAGGTCTGAGAAAATTTCATTATTTTTTGTTTTAGTTTGAACCTTTAAACACAATTTAATAATTTCCTTCTTTATAGGTTTCTAATTATGGTTGTATAAATTATGTAAACGTCCACTAACAGAGTAGATAACACGTGGACAATAGAACTTCTTTGCGATAATCTCATTTGATCGCCATGGTAAAAAAAAAATCTCATTGCTTTAATTAAGATCTTTACCAATTCTAAATCCTCCAAGAATTGTAAGCTTTCATTCATTATAAAGGTCTATTGTTATGCAAAATTATTCCGATCACCAAATTAAATCACTTTTTGCTGGTGCTAAACAAAAGATCATTGGTGATAACCTATTGATTGATGTATGACATTCTTCAGATGGCATTATCAAGTCTTTCAGAGGTACTTAAGATAATTGGTGAGAATGAGTTCTCCGATTAACAATACCCATATATAAAACATTAGGAGCATTGCATCATCTTTCTTTTTTGTTGGATTGGCAGGGTCTGAATTGTTTGAGCAGCTTTTTGGTATTAGTTTTTCATAATAAGTCTTCACATTTGTTTGTTCAGGATCATAACAAGGGAAGACTAGACTGCTTTTATTACCTCATTGCAGTATTACGCATTCTAAATTTGGGATATTTTCTTTCATGTAAGAAAGCGTTGGTATGTTATATCATTTATATATATATGCGTGATTTTTTTCAAGAATACAGTAAGTTTTATAGTCCGAAAAAATGATACTTCTCTTAGTTAATATTTCAAGTGCAATTTGTGGTTATGAATTGTAGATAATTTATTTTATTACATCAATATTATCTAAGAAATTCACGTATTTTCATTTGTTGCTTTAATGAAGATCCTTTACATATAAAAGAGGGTCATTAAAATCTGATGTGGTACCTCTCATCATTCAGAATACATATTTTCCTTTTTTCTCAGTTTTTGGGTTTTTACCCTATTTTCCTATTTATTTGCTATACTAAAAACCAAAAGTCACATATTAACTTCTATTAATTACGCTTGTCTCTTTAATTTTTTTTTCCGTTCTTTTTTGGCGACTTACCCTTCTCAAAACGTTTTCCGTATATTTTCTCCAACGTTTCATTGAAAAGGCACCGCACCTGTTAAAGAAACCAAAAAGTTACGTTTCATTGCCGCTGCAGCTTTGAGTTTAGGGTTTTGATGGGTTGGTAGGGTAGTCACTTTGCTGCTAAAGTTTCTATATCTTTGGCGTATAACATATTTATGTATATCTTCTAAATGCATTTTTATTTTATTATTTGGTGTTTTACTTTTTGCTCCTTATTCTTCTTCTTTTTTTAAATGACTGAGTTAATTGGGTCATAAAAAGAGTTGGATTAGCATTAGTTCAATTACTCTAACTAATTTTTTGTTAGCTTTTTATGAAGTTAATTTTTCATATGTGTTTTGTTGCGTTTTTAGTACTTTCTGTTAAAAATGGATTTAAAAATTGAGATTATGAATGATTTTAAAAGTTATGATGCAAACAAGACAGATTGTTGGGTCTGTAGCCAGTTTTCTTCATCCTTGATGCTTCTAATATGTCAACAAATATATTCGCAGAGGCACCATTGCAAAG